AATTTATCGTAATCGATTAGTTAACATGTTGGTTAAATTATTCTGAAACACGTAAAAAATCATTGGCTTATCAAATTATCTATCGAGCATTGAAAAAGATTTAACAAAAGACAAACAAATCTACTATATATTTTACGGTAAGCAATACATGGAGTAACTTTCGATATAGAAGTAAAAACAAGATGTGTAGGCGGATCGACTCATCAAGTTCTCATTGAAATATGATTCACTCAAGGAAAAACACTTGCCATTTGCTGGTTATTAGGGGCATCCCGAAAGCATCTGGGTGGAAATATAGCTTTCAAATTAAGTTTTGAATTAGTGGATGTTGTCAAAGGGGGTGGTGATGCCATATGCAAAAATGAAGAGACTCATAGAATAACAGAGGCAATTAGAGCTTTTGCAAATTTTAATTAATCCTAGAATAAGATCGATATAGACACATAGATTTATGGATTCATACATCTCGATCGGAAAAGAATCAATAGAAAAAGAAAGTATCAAAGTGATGAAACATAAATCATGGATCAACTAAACCCTCTTTAGGACGTGCTTAAGAATAAGAAAGATGGATCTCATGTAAATACCATGGAATAAGGCTTGATCCTATTCATGAGGATTCCGTAAATATCTCATTTCAAAAATAGAAAGTTCGCAACAATTGAGTTTTTTAGAGATTGGGTGCAATTACTAATTCATGATTTGGTATGTATATAACGAAAATTTCATTCTCGGTTCTATGAGAATTTTATGAAAGCCTGTCATTTACTTCTCTTCGATGAAAGTTTTATTTTTCCAGAATATATCTTAATTTTTGGCCTAATTCTTCTTATGATAATCGATTTAACATCTGATCAAGAAAGAAATACATTGGTTATATTTCATCTATTCAACAAGTTTAGTAATGAGCATAATGATCCTATCGTTCCGAGGGAGAGAAAAACTTATGATTAGCTTTTCAGGAAATTTCCAAACGAACAATTTCAACAAACTCTTTCAATTTCTTATTTTGTTATGTTCAACTTTATGTATTCCTCTATTCGTAGAGTACATTAAGGTGGCGTTTGGTTGAATGGAATCCCTTGGAACTGGTGGGAATTGGAATCCAATCCCACCACTTTCCCATGTTTGGTTCAAGTTTTTCAAGGGAATTGGAATCCCTGATAGAATTCAATTCCATCAAATGAGGGAAAGTGAATTCCATCCAAAAATGGATGGAATTCAATTCCCTAGTTGGAGGGAATTGAAATTTGACCATACTACCCTCATCAATCATTTGGTAACTTATTCATATATCGAATAAAAATATTTTTTTTTATTATTTCGGGTCGGGTTTCTAATTCATATATTCGGGTCGGGTCGGGTGAAACTTTATTTTGGTCGGGTCGGATCGGGTTTTTTTAAGTGTGATATTCGGGTCGGGTCGGGTTTGGGTTTAGGGTGAAAAAAACCGGACCGACCCGAAAATATATATAATTCAGGTCGGATTAAGTCACTGTTTTTATTAAATAAAAATAAATTTTTATTATTTCGGGTCGGGTTGGATTTCTAATTCATATATTCGGGTCGGGTCGGATGAAACTTTATTTTGTTCGGGTCGGGTCGGGTTTTTTAAGTGTGATATTCGGGTCGAGTCGGATCGGTTTTTTTAAGTGTGATATTCGGGTCGGGTCAGGTCGGGTTCGGGTTTAGGGTGAAAAAAACTGGACCGACCCGAAAATATATATAATTCGGGTCGGGTCGGATTAAGTCACTGTTTTTATTAAATAAAAATAATTTTTTATTATTTCGGGTCGGGTCTGATGAAACTTTATTTTGTTTAGGTCGGGTCGGGTTTTTTAAGTGTGATATTCGAGTCGGGTCTGGGTTTTTTAAGTGTGATATTCGTGTCTGGTCGGGTTCGGGTTTAGGGTGAAAAAACTGGACCGACTCGAAAATATATATATAATTCGGGTTGGGTCGGATTAAGTTAATGTTTTTATTAAATAAAAATATTTTTTTTATTATTTCGGGTCGGGTCGGGTCAAATTTCTAATTCATATATTCGAGTCGGGTCGGGTTTTTTAAGTGTGATATTCGGGTCGAGTCGGGTCGGGTTTTTTTAAGTGTGATATTCGGGTCAGGTCGAGTTCGGGTTTAAGGTGAAAAAACCGGACCGACCCCAAAAAAATATATAATTTTACCTTATATATTTAGTCAATGTTTTTATTGAATAAAAATAATTTTTTTATTATTTTGAGTCGTGTCGAGTCGAGTTTCTAATTTATATATTAAATAAAAATAGTTTTTGATATATTTTTTGGTAACTAATTAACATACTCCGATTGGAATGTATTGAAATATTGTTCTATCTTTTGATAACTTATTAACATATTTTGATTGCGATGATTTTAACTTATAATGTTTATTAGCATGATTTTTATAATTTATTGAAATGAATAATCAATCAATAAAATGAAAATTTAATTTTTTAAAATTTTTTATAATATATTACTATATGTAAGTTGTAAAATAAACTAAAATAAAGCAAAAAAAATAAGAAGGGCAATTCTGTCATTTTATATTACTGAAATCAAATTCATCTGACATGTCTGCGAACCAAATAGAAGATGGAATTGGATTCCAATTCCATTTCCTGCCAACCAAACAGAATATGGAATTTGATTTCAATTCCTACAGATTCCAATTCCTTCACAGATTCCAATTCCCTCGTAAACATTCTAAATAAATGTACATAAATGACTACAGTAGAGTTTCTATTATTTATAAAAACATCTACCCTGGGAGAATTTTTTTCATGTGGTGCTAACAATTTAGTTTAATATGTTAGATTGACGCCTTTAAAAAATTCACCTATCTTGGACCTAGCCTTACTCATCTAAATTATTTATTTTAAATAAAAATATTTTTTAATTTATATTTAAATCAAGATAGATAAATCATTCAACTGATGAATAAATTTAATTTAAAAAGATTAAACTAATAAAATAATAACATGAAATGTTACATCAACTAAAAAATAGACTCCTTATATTTACAAATAATATTCAAATCTCACATTACTCCATCAAGTAGTATTTTAAAGTAGTCTTTTCCCTAACTTTTGTGCAACTTGTCCCTTTTTCTCATCTTTGTTTGTCAGAGGATGACACTAATTTTGGCGTTAGTCCCTCGTCGATATTTTTTTATTTTCACTTTTTTATATTTTATCTTGCTTTTCATTTATTTTTAGTTCCTAATAGTTGTACCTTATGGCACACTTTCTTCTTCATTATGTACCCTTTGGATTTTTTTATCGATTGTTTGACTACTTTATTTATTTTTTCAGGATTAAATTTAATGTTACTTCAAGTGATCAAAATGATGTTAATTTATTATATTGTTGATCTTTTTTTTAAGATCTTCGGATTAATTTGGATACACAGTGCTCAGAGATGATTTTCTCACAATACTCGATTTTAATTTATGATTGTTGGTGGTCTTTCAATAGTTTGATCCCTTATTGTTATTCATTTATTGATACAATCAAATCTATTCGTGTATATTTTTTTGAGTTTTTTTGATGAGTTTTAAACATTTTCTTTGTATGGTCATTGTATGATCTCAAGTGACTAATTTATGGTGTCAATCATTATAAGAAATGTCCTAATTATGCATTAAGTTTACGTATATTATTGTAAAATTTAATTGTAATTTTAAATATTTTATTTTTCTAATAAAATTAAAGGGTTCTAGTTCGTATAAAAAAAGTAATGATTTAAAATCAAACGAGATAATGTCATTCGAAAATCTTATATTACCATGGACTGAGGTGTATTTAGTAGGGGTGTGCAAATCCGGGTACTCGGATTTTCGGGTACTCAAAGTGCCAGATACATGGATCTTCGGGTAATTGATTTCTCAACTCATGTCTCAACCTAGATGACCAGGTACCCGGATACCCGTTTTTTTCTTCTTCAAATTATTAATTAAACACACACACAATTTTAAATGTTCGAAACTTCGAATTACATAGTCCAACATCCAAACATAAAATTTAAAAGTTCAAAATACAAAATCTAATAATCCATAATATAAATAAAACATAAAAGTTCATAGCTAAATATATGATTAGATATCTTGATACTTGAATCATGATCATGGTTATACTTCTTCATTTGTCATTTTCCTTTCTTACAAGCAATTCTTTTATTAGATATAAATAAACCATAAGTTTAATAAATAATATTATTAATAATTAAATATATAATAATATATTATTATATATATATATATATATAAATCCCTAATCGGGTACTCGGGTTACCGGGTACATGGAAAAATTCAATTTTGTGACCCAGGCTCAACCCGGGAAATGTCGGGTCGAGTATCCGACCCGGCCGATAATTTTTTTAAAAAATTACCCTTTTTTAGGTTCGGGTTGACGGGTCGAGTATTTTTGCACACCCCTAATATTTAGGGGGCCTACTTAGGCCATGACCTACTAATCTCTTTAACCATTAAGATTACTTGCTTCGATTCAGTTTAAAAATATGTTGTTGTTATTATATTTTTAAATTGAAACTATATATGAATTATATTATATAAGATTTTATCTATATTTATATTAATCCATCCAATATATTTTTTGTATTCGTCATTGATCATAGATAATATATAACACTACTTGAATCAAACGGACCCTAACAATAAAGATGCAATATTTGATTAAATATTAAATTAAAGTTCCATTTTGACAAAATAAATAAGTTTTATTCAATTTAATTGAACTAACTACTTATATTCATCTCCTTCAGAAAGATTTAAATTGATATAAAATTTTAATAAGATGTAAAATTTTATTTGATTTAAAGACTAAAGTTTACTAAAATTATAAAAAGAAATGATAAAAATGTTAAAAAAATCCATGAATCTTAATATTACCAAATCTTATAATACTATTGGTAAAAATGAAAAAAAAAGGTAATCATCACATCTTGCTAATATAATTCTCCAGCTTCTGAACAATACAGTACCATCATACAACATCAGTAAATTTAATGTCATGAAATTCTCGATACACCTTATAAAATTATTCATATTTACATGTTTTAAGCTCAAGAATCAAAACATTATATTATATTATATTATATTATATTATATATATATTATAGCATACTGAAGTCATACAGGAAAATGTCTATTTGGTTACCAGTTGAGGAACAAATTAGTGGTGATCCTACAGCCTATATATCTATTGGTGGTTAACGTAGACGGGCAGCCCAGAGTGAACTGAGAGCACGTAGACGATGAAAGTATTCCCCTAAGGCAAGTAACGCTCGAGCTGTTTGATGGGTTGTCAGCACTCGAACCATCTGTAGCAATGTCTGTTCCCGAAGGTGATCCGCCTGTTTTTTGTTGGAAGAAAACAATCAAAAGTAAGTAATCAAATGTTTGGACTCTTTATTTTTCTTCAAGAATTCTATGTCAATATCGATACATAGCTGCATTCGACATTCAGACCCGATCCCGAGTAACATAACTTTGGAAGGAATAGATTCGAGTAACATACCTGGTTTACAAAGCCCTCAAGTGCTTCTAATACATCTGTTGCAACAGCCATCTGAGCTCTGTAGTTTCCCCAGCTGAAATCAGATGCTACATTTTGAGCCAAATTGTGCTGGAGTTTTTCTATTCCTTGTGAAAGGGCATCTTCAGCTTGCTGAGAAGATTGTCTGAGGTGACAAACCTCCAATTGTTGTTGATCGGTCAAGGGCTCAATATGTGACATGACAACCTATACGAAACAGAAATTCTTTGAATTCATGGAAAATCGTTGAAAAGTCTGGCCATTTCCATGTGCTGTGCACATGATGACATCCAACACTAACACCAGAAAGAGAAAAGAAGAAGAACAAAGAGGTTATATGGGACTGCATTGCATTACATTTAAAAGCTCTGATGGCTTGAATCCTCCGATCCAATGGAAAAACTGCTCAGCCGAAGTTCTCCAAAGGCCTGAGTTCAAATAAAAGACATTGGCCTTTGCAGCCTCTGCTTTCATTCGGAACAGATTGCAGTAGTGATTCAAGCCACTTTCTACCTGTATCTGTAGCTCTATATCAGTAATCTGTTCCTGAAGTGCATTTCTAAGTTCACAAACCTGTTTATCTTGCACTTCAACCCAGTGTTCATATTCCATCTCAAATGCACTAATCCCTGCAAAATTCACATGCAGCGATTCTTATGAATTACTTTATATTTGCATGAGAAAAATGTGATATAGCTAGACTGATGCATGCACAAATTAAACATATGTCAAATCTCCATGAAAATCATGTGAACATATTCTGAGGGACCGACCTGGGTTTGCGGTTCCCGGTAGCCCAAAATAACCGGAATCTGGTGCACTGCTTATGTATATACCCTGCATTAAAGGCATTGCCTAACCGATTCATATATGCCATATTCAGAAACATGATGAACAAAGATATGAGTTTTCACTTCACCTGCTGCCTAGCTCTTTCAAGCTCTTGCTCCAATTGAGCTAGTTTCAAACGACTTGATTCTAATTCTCGAACATAGGCCTAGAAAGATAAAATAAAACCATGAGTACTTTTATATTTCCAAACAATGAAATAACTATCAAAATTCCTATAATTCCTACCTTCTTCCGAATACGACTTTTACGAGCAGCTTCTCGGTTTTGTGCCAGACGTCTCTGTGTCTGTACATATCATGTGTTAATAGCTATCTTTTGTTAAATGAAGATGTTTGGGGTGAAAGATTTTATTTTGTCTGCAAAATCATCACCTTATCAACGGGCTTGTTTGTTTCTTGATCACTTCTTGAAGGTTCAACTTGATCGCAAGATATATATCCGGCCTATGATTTAAATCACAGAACAATATAGTTATAACCCTGCAACAGGAAGAAAAAGAGATTAACCAAGCTAGAAACAAAACTGAATGCATCTTCACCTTGTTCTCTACCCCAACATTCATCTCTACGATCGAGGACGATCCTGTATTCGGACTATTGTCGCGGTTAAACACGTCTCCCCACCGGCATACCTGGTGGGATTGCTCGTATATTGCCATCTTTCTGGTGAGTTCAGTTGATGGAGAGTTCATACTCTATCAAGAAACTGGTAATATTGAACCAAAACAAACAACTGTTTGATTGTATTTAGCACCAGAAGAATGTAGAACAGAACTTGGATTTGGTTTATCTTGTAAAGCAGCAACCAAACCTTGGGACAAGAACACAAAGGAAGAGATTACAAAAAAGCTCATACAGTGATACAAATGCCTGAAAAATATATGCAACAAGAACAAACTAAAACCCAGAATCATGAACTAAAAATCTAAAAACCAAGCTACCAAACTCAAGCTCTTAATTGTCCCCAAAATTACATGTTGCAATCATCAGCCATCATATATTGTCGACAAAGGATAGTAGAAAAGACCAGCACATGGTCAGCAAAACTCAAAACACCAACCTTGTAGAACCACAAGCTTAAAGGATATGATCAAACAGGAAAAGAGAAAAAGAAAAGATTGAATCTTTTCAAAACTTTCAACTATCTAAGGGGAAAAAAAGAATGAAATTTGAGAAACTTTGCAAACTAACCTTATGGATCAACTGAATTTCCAAAACCCAAAGTTCTTCCAGTAAAAAAAGAGGCCCAAATGAATACTCAAGGTTGCTCCTGTTTTTGTAAAAACAGCACCTTTGAGTCTCTGGTCTTCCACCACTACTTAAAGCAAACAAAAGAATCCAAACCCACAAATTAAAAACACTTGAGAAAAGGAAGAGAAAATGTGTAATATATATATATATTTATATATGCACTTGCTTTAAAACGCTACAATCAAACGTTAACGTCCGAGTGTTCCTAGTTCCCACTTAAAGTAACAAAAATATAAATAAGAAAAATGAAAAAATGCGCATAACTTTTTCTATCCTATACACCCAACACTCTCCTAACCTACGCCACTTATTATCTCAAAGGCTCGAACTGTGTCTACCTTTAATCTCCATCACTGACGTCATTTTCCGGGGCAAAAAGAAGAACCTTCGTTTCTGGGGTCCCAAGTGGTCGAAAATGATTGGACAGTGAGTTCCGTGGTTGGTCAAGACTCCAGATAGCTGCAAAACCCCTTGCATGCATGTTTCCACTCATACAAAACCGACTACAAAAGGCCACCATACATACATACATACACATGGAAAATGTTTTTTTTTTTTTCATTTTTCAGTATTTTGATCGACGACAAATAGATGTAAATATGATTCATTCTTTTATCAACGGAATTTCTTTTTGTATTTTTTTAAAATTAGCTTATCGTATGATTTTTATAAACCATTTTCTAAAATTTTCAATATAGAAATATAAATACTCAAAATAATATTATTTTATATATTTAATATTAATATGCTATTTAATATTATTTTAATAAAAATATTTATTATTAAAATATATTTATTAATACTTTTAATAATATAATATAATATTTTTATTGTTATAATAATATAATCAATTATATTAAAATATATGATATTACACTTATTTTAATAATATAATAAAATTAATATTATTTTTTAATTTCATAAAAATAAAAAATATTAAATATGTAAAATATATTTATTAATAATTTTTAAAACATAATATAATATTTTTACTCTTATATTATAATTTTTATTATGAGAAAATAACCTTAGTGACCGAAAATTTCTTATAATATACGATTTTGACCAACTTTTTTTCGATTTGACAAAATGACCAACAAAATCGCAATGCGATCTCTAAATCGCAACGCGATCTCCAGTATCGCAAATCAGTTTCCAGATTCGCAACGCGATTTTGACTATCGCAATACGAATATGTAAATCGCAACGCGATTCTGACTATCGCAACGTGATTCTGACTATCGCAACGCGATTCTGACTGTCGCAACACTGAATTTCAAATTCGCAATAGGTTTTAGTTTCGCAACACAAATGTTTTGGGTATATAACTACGCAGCAGAAACAACTCATAACCTAAATCCCTAAATCGCAACTCATTCCATCTCCATCTATCACTCTCTTCGGCGACATCCGTTCCTATATCCAACGACATCATTCCCCATCCGGCAACAGGTTTTAGTTTCGCAACTCGTTTGTTTAGTAAATTAATTTACAATAATGAAATCATCTAATGTTAATCATGTTTGGATAGATTTGTGTTTTGGAGGGTCATGGGAGAATGTTCATGGTGTTCGAAAAAAGTCATTAAAAAAGTTAACTTATGAAACTCTAATGTTACGTGTTGCAAATAAATTGAATTTAGAGCCCTTAAGTGGATTTAGGCTATCTTATCAGAGAAAAGGTAAAGTTTATTTGTTAACCGACAATGAAGATGTTGAACGATTCATTGCTTACATTAGTGTTTCGCAAGATGATGTTACATTGTATGTTGCTGAACCTAGAAGTAGTGAAGTTGGGTCAGTAGCGGGTAATAATCAACTAAGTTTTTCAACACCAGTTTATGGTGCTCAAAATTTAATGGTTCCACCACAATTTCATCACCAATCAAATTTTGTTTCACCACATTTCCAATACCAAACACAATCTCAAAACCCACAACCTTTCCCTAATCCAAATCCCAATCAACTTTCAGTACCAAATTCCGGTTTTCGTATTAACCAGTTAGACGATGATGAGCCAACAGAAAAAATTGTGAGTACTAGTCGGTATTCGAAATTTGATCTTGGTCAATACCCGGACTTTGATCTTGGTCAATACTCGGATTTTGATGATGTTTCAGAAGAAGAAACAGACCCTACGTGTAATGATTTTGATATTGGTCAATACCCGAATTTTGATGATGAAACAGTCGCTGCTGAGGAAGATGTTGTTGATGATAATGAGGAGGAAGTTACGACTATCAATGAACATGTTGAACATCCATTCTGTAATTCATATAACCCTGAAGAAGAAAAAGAAGAAGAACAAATCCCCGAAGAAAAGTCCCCGGAGAAAATGCCACGGGAGTATAACTGGAATATGCTAGAATTACTTCAGATACCGGAAGAAGAGTTGGTAAAAATAGCAGTTGATTGTTACACAAAAATTATTCGTATTAAGAAAGATGATTGTTTTGATACAAAGGAAGACTTGAAGATAGCTTTGTATACGAAATGTGTCGAAGATGGCTATCAAATAAAAGTTAACAAATCAAGCAAAGATCGTTTTGAAACAAAGTGTATGATTGACAAAAACTGTACGTGGCGTATGATTGCAAAGAGGATAAAAGATTGCGAAATGTTTCAAGTTAGGACTTTTATTGATAAACATACATGTTCAAGAACCCAAGTTTTTCCTCACCATAGACATGCAAACAAAAAGGTGTTGGGTGGTTTTCTGGCTGAGTTAATGTTTTTGAATGGCAGGGTATATCGGGGACATGAAATTATGACTGACATGAATGCTCGGTTCAAGATTAGTATCTCATATTCTCAAGCTTGGAGAGCCAAATGTTATACCTTGGAATTGTTGAGGGGGTCGCCAGAAGCATCGTTTGCCCAATTGCCGGCTTATTGTCACAATTTAAAGCTGAAAAATCCTGGGTCGGTAACTCATATCAAAACAGATAGAGATGGACGCTTTGAGTGCTGTTTATCGCCATTGGTGCTGCGGTTAGTAAATCAATATAATTTTGTTGACTCATTTTTGTTAGTTACATGCATTTCACATTTAAATGATTATATTTCTTGTGTATATGATTTTGTAGATTCGTTCGTTTATTACTTGCATGCGCCCATTTATTATAGTTGACGGAGCACATTTAAAAGGTCGATACCTTGGAGTAAACTTATTAGCAGTAGCCATGGATGCTAACAATGGGATACTGCCAATAGCTTACGGGGTTGGCAAATCTGAAACCTCTGATTCATGGACATGGTTTATGGGGCATCTTAGGGATTGTATAGGTCCTATTAGCAATCTGACAATCATATTCGATAGGGCAAACTCAATTGACAACGTTGTTAGATGGTGTTTCCCAGATGCTTTTCATGGACTTTGTGGTGTTCATTTGTATAGAAATCTAAAATCAAGGTCTGTTGGTATAAAAAATCACAAATGGACATACTGGAAGGCTGTAAAAGCTCATCGGGAAGTGGATTTTAATAAGCATATAAATTGTTTAAGACGTATTTTGCCTTAGTGTGCTCAAACACTAGAAGATTTCGAGTTTGAAAGATGGTCAAGAGTACATCAACTTGGAGCAAGATATGGTTTCATGACGTCTAATAGTGCAGAATCAATCAACGCTCTAAGTCGTCATTCCCGGAAATTACCCATTACTATGTTAATGGAGTTTTTTCGAGCCTCTATTCAATAGTGGTACTACAAGAAAAGAAACCATGCAGGTATTATTTCTTTAAATTCGTAACTTATCATATATTTTACTAAGTATTATTTATTTAAATTTACAGGAACATTGGAACATCGTGTTACACCATAGACTGAAAAAAGATAACGAAACGTGTTGTGAAGTCAACGTCATGGAGAGTTGAACCATGTTTAAACATTTTGTTTGAAGTACTGGATAATAACTTAAATGGGCTTGTCGATCTAAATGCAAAGACGTGTAGTTATATGAAATGGCAAACATCTGGGTATCCGTGTGGCCATGTTATAAAAGTTGCTCTTCATCTAAACCAAGATGATTCAAGCGCATACGCTATAGATTGCTAGACTACAGAAGTATATCGACAGACTTATGCCGAGATTATATACCCTATTCCACATCCTTCTGAGTTGGACATACCAGATGACTTACAAACAGTTTTGCCACCAGCCATGGACAGAAGGCTACCTGGCCGACCAAACACGATCGTATACCGTCTAAGGGTGAAGAGAAGAAGAGATCGACATGTAGTCGGTGCAAGGAAAGTGGTCATACAAGGTTGACATATGGATCACCAGTGCCATCACAATCATCTTTTCCTATACCAAAATATGGATCCTCATCAAAATCCAAAGCTCATATGGTGTCAAGAAAAAGGCAATCAAAATCGCAATCAAAATCAAAATCCCAATCACAACCGGCTTCACCTTTTGGGACTATTAACTTAGGTGATTTTTAAATGCAAATGTTGTATTATGTGTATTTTATGTGTAAACTTTTAACATTTTCAGTTAGACATGTATTAGTAACTTGAGTTTAAACATTGCTATGATATGTTCAGTTGTTATCACTTATTACACATTCATTTGAATATCGTAACGCGAATTTGACTATTATGTGTATTTTATGTGTAAACTTTTAACATTTTCAGTTAGGCATGTATTAGTAACTTGAGTTTGAACATTGCTATGATCTGTTCAGTTGTTATCACTTATTACACATTCATTTGAATATCGCAACGCGAATTTGATTATTGCAACTCAAAAATCGCAACGCGAATTTGACTATCGCAATGTAAAAATCGCAACGCTAATTTGACTATCGCAACGCGAATTTGACTATCGCAACGTGAATTTGATTATCGCAACGGGTATTTGACTATCGCAACGAGAAAATCGTAAAGCGTATTAGACTATTGCAACGCGAATTGACTTTCGCGTTGCGATTTTGGCTTTCGCATTGCAATTTTGAGTTTAGCATTGCGAAAGTGTACCTTCAACAGGTCTTTTGCCTTCAATATGATGCAGATTGAAATCAACAAATCAACTTTTACATTTCAATCAATTAAACAAGCACAAATAAGAATTATTTACACATCAA